GTTTTTGTGGCGTTAAAGTTGACCAGCCAATTCTTGCCCCAGTTAACAACCGATTGGAGGTCCATTTCAAGACGCACGGCCAGGTTAGTTTTGTCGCCGACACTAGATTTGTTTTTGAGGCAGGAGTAAATTGTAGTGTCGTCTGCATAGATGCCGACTTGGGAATCTATAGCTTCAGGAAGGTCATTGATGAAAATAAGGAAAAGAGTGGGGCCAAGGATGGAGCCTTGGGGCACACCTGCGTTAGTGGGATAGGAACTGGAGGAGAATCCGTTGAAAATGACCTTCAATTCTCGGTTAGACAGGAATGATTGTATTAGATCAAACAGTTGACCAGTAACACCATACCCCTGGAGCTTACGAAGAAGGCCGGCGTGCCAAACCCTATCGAACGCTTTGGAGATGTCGAGGGCCACAGCACGAGCCTCACCGTTATTTTGAAGGGCTTGGTAGACGGTTTCAGTGATGGCCGTAAGCACATCAGCTGTAGATCGGGCGTAGCGGAAACCATATTGCTTGTCTGAGAGCAGATTATGGGATGTGAGGTGATTAACCACTTCGATATTGATTAGGGCTTCGAAGACTTTGCCGAAGAGGGGTAGGAGACTAATAGGACGGTAATTAGTGGGGTCAGAGGGGTCCCCAGAGTTCTTAAACACAGGAACAATGGATGAGGACTTCCAGCAGACAGGAAAACATGATTCCTTGAGGCAGTAATTATACAGTTTAGAGAGGGCGGGTGCTAGCTCAGGCGCGCATTTCTTCAGGACAATGGCTGGTATGCCATCTCCACCACTAGCCTTGTGGGGGTCTAAGGTGGAGATAATGCCCAGTACCAATGACGGGGTTATGTGTAAGCCGCTCAGTAAGGCCTCAGTTCTAAGATGGAAGTCTGGTATGGGTACACCGGTGGAGTCGAGCGTTGAATTAAATGAGAATTTCCGAGCAAAGCATTCAGCCTTGTCGGTAGAGGAGGTCAAGACTTCGAACTGGTTGAATAAAGGAGGTATGGAGGGTTTTCGATTATTCAGGACACTTTTGCAGACTCGCCAATAATCTTTGGAGCCAAATTTGTGAGATGCAATTTTTTCCTTCATTCGAGCAGCAAATATTGACTTAGCTTCGTTGAGGACACGCTTACACTCGTTACGGGCAGAGGCAAAGAGACGTCTATTGCAGTCCGACATGTCGCTACGGAATCGATGAAAGAAGTGATTCCTATGGGCGATGGCAGATGAGCAAGCAGCGGAGAACCAAGGGGAGGAGTGCGACTTGACCTTAAATTTCCTTGAGGGGATGAAAGCGTCGATTCCAGCTTTAACCCAGGATGAGACCTCAGAAGCACATTCTTGGACAGGGAGTGTAAAGACAACATCCCAGGGGACATCGCGGAGAAAGTCACGGAACGAGTCCCAATCCGCTCGTTGATAGTAGAACGAGGTTCTTGTGATGGGAGGTTCTTTGCAGGGCGTGGTGTTGAAGGAAACGTTGACAGATACCACAGCGTGATCGGAGTTGCCAAGCGGACAGAGCTGTGTGGCGCTACAAGATTCGGGGATGGAGGTAAAACACAGGTCGAGAAGAGAGGCCTTACCTGCCAGGTCGAGGGTAAAACGCGTGGGGAAGTCGACTATCTGCGTGAGGGATTGAGAAATTGAGAAGTTAAATGTTTGAATGCCAGCCCGGTCAGTAGTAGAATTCACGAGCCACTTGGTGTGATGGGCATTAAAGTCACCAAACACGAATATATGAGCAAACGGGTGGAGAGAGAGGGCCTTGTCTATGCTGTCAGATATGCTATCAAGTATCCCACAGTCTTGAGAGGATGGAGAGCGATAGAGGAAGAAGAGATAGCTTACGGCATTGAGGAGAGATAGTCGGAGACACATGTACGACAGGTCTGGCGATTCGAGAGACAGCTCTCTGGCCAGGGGGAGATGGTCCTTGACATAGACACCAAGGCCGTGCATGTGGGTTAGAGAGTCTTTCCTGAGGAGAGGAAGGTAGCCAGGGATCGAGAGATCAGAGGAGGGAATAGACGAGACAAGGTTTGTCTCACACAGAGCCAGTATATCCGGGCAGTTTGCAGTGAGGAAAGATTCCAAACTGCAGAAGTTTGTTCTAATGCCACGGATGTTGGCGAACGAAATGTTGAGGGGTTTAGGTGATTTTTGCGGGGCTGGTTTAGGTTTACTTTTTTGATTCATTTGAGTCTTCATGTTGAGTGATTGTTGGAAGATGAGAAGGCCTGAAGTATAGAGAAGCAGATGGTTATCGACCGCAACGTGAGCAGAGAGGAGTTGGCACAGCCTGCATCGTAGTGTGGCCTCAGGGTTGCCCACCGGAGGTGACTGCAGGGACACCGATCCATGCGCGTCATGGCACTGCAAACACCCCGGTATTATACAACTGTTGATCAGAGCGGCCGCTCAAGACGCTATGCAAGAGTTAGGGCTCCTAACTACCAGTCGGAAACAGCAACCAGTGAACTGTCAACCGTGTACCCTCAAAATGAAGAGGCAATGCCACAGACTGCGCACATCACGGGAGAAACACATCAGTACGAGTACAGAGGCCAGAGAGAGAGAGAGAGAAAGTGCCGGGAACCCCTTCTTAGACAGGAAACAAGGTGTGAGCCTCTGCGCTTGTCCAGGGGAAGGGGGAGGAGTGTTGACCGGGCGGTAGGAGGGTCTACCTACTCCTATTACATACAACACATAACAATGACAATAGACAAACAGATAAGATGCCGGGAAGTAGTTGGCAGTGCCCATTCTGGCACTATACGCGCGTTAAGGGGGATAGGATGGAATTTATTAGAATGTTATACTTATACAACACTAAGTTTTAACTTAGTATAAGTCCCAATGTTCTATTCTAAGGAAAGGGACTTTTTTTTTCCAGAGGTGGTGGGGACGATTTCCAACTACACAAACAAGTTATCAGTTAGGTTAGAACAAGTATTAATGTTAAATTTGTCGGAGTGATCAAGCAACAATAGCTGAATAAAATAAATACGTAAAACGAATATATATATATATATATATATATATATATATATATATATATATATATATATATATATATATATATATGAAGAGAGAGAGAGAGAGAGAGAGAGAGATATGCTATCGGATGCGTCTTTGGAAGAATGAATTTATACTCACACATGGCGGAAAGTTATTCTTCGTGTCAATTCGATGGGACCAGTGATTGTACGGCTAGCCATGTCTCAGACCCAAGCGTCAAGTTACAAATAACGCAGTGCTGGGGAGGGGGGGGTCAGTGACCATTCCTACCCTTCACCAGCAATGGGCTTGGGAGAATTTGCATTAATAAAATATTTAAACCACGAGGAGAACGAACGGCAAAACGATTCCGCGAGAGGTCAAATTTTTTTTTTTTTTTTAAATTCAAAATTCTTTTAATAATATTGACGTTTAATGATTTGTACTAAACATTTTCATTTATATAAAATAGATTTTATTCAATAATAATATCATCTAAGAGAGTGGAAGTAATACAGAATTTTTTAAAAATTAAAACAATAAATTATTCTAATTAAAATTTTTAAAAAATGGAAACAATTCTTGCAAAAATTTATTATTCACCGAAAAAGGTTTTGTTTTCTTAAGACTACAGTGTCTTTAATATATCTTATTTATAAAAGCAATTAAAAGCTTTTTCTACTTAAATACTGTCATAATTTTGTTGTATTTTTTTATGTTTCAAGGCAGATTTTCGGTAAATGATATTTCTGTTTGACAAAAACAAATTGATGATTTAAATTCTCCAAAGAGACCTGCTTTTAACTAACATAAAAAAATGGTAGAATTTTTAAATTATTTGTAAATAAGTTCAGAAAATTTTATTAAAATGCGACAATTATTTGATTTTTGCAAGAATTTCAAAACAATGTGTTGTTTTTTTGTTTCGTTTTTTTTACCGTAGAAAAAATGTTAAATTTAACATACTAATCTTTGGCCCACCCGCTGAGAACGGATTAAAATATTTAATAAAATATTCAAAAATACATTGGTCTTTCCTCTTAATAATAACATAAACATTTTGACTAATTAAATCTATTTTTTTCCGTTCAATGGTTAGAGGCCAAATTTTTGTAGCGATTCACGACTTCAGGTGTTTTCAAAGCTCGTATGAGATACCTGGAGTATCTCTGCGAGCTCCCACGCAGTATGACCGGGATTATTTTTTAGCAGGATTTCGATCTGGTCATTATCATCGACTGAAGCCATGCCCGAACGTTCGCGCTTTTACTTATCAAAATTACCACGAATCCCTTACAGGCAGTACTCCCAGCTATGGCACCATCTCGATAAATGACACCTATCTTTTTTTACTGTTTGCACATCATTTTTAACTTTTCGAAACTAAAAGAGCATCAACTGAAGAAAATGCATTTCATTTTCTTCCATTTTCACTTTTATTTAAAATTATTGGTATAATTGACACGTAGCAATGTCCCCTTTCTGAATATAGATAAGAAATCACCTGTTCAGTTGACATCTATTAAAGCTGCTATAACATTTTTCTTTCAACCCTATACATACATGTGCTGGAAAGTTCCTGACTAACAAGAAATGTTTCTGTAAGCACACCCCTAATATATATATATATATATATATATATATATATATATATATATATATATATATATATACATACAGAGAGAGGGAAAGAAAGAAAGAGAAAAGAATAAGAGAATACAAATAAAAAGGGTTGTCATTTAGTTGATTGATGTAACTTTCTGCATCGCGACTCCAAAGATTTGTAGACAGAACCTCCAAGAATTACTCCGTCTACTCGACAGGATGAATCAACAACTGACTGCTTATACTTCTCGATTTTACTTTTTTATATACACTTTTCATTGGTGAAAGTTTTTAAATAGATAGATAGATAGATCTTAAAAGACTGAGCTAGCTAGCTAGCTAGATACATAGATAGATCTTAAAAATCTGACATAGATTATAAAAGACTGAGATAGATAGATAGATAGATAGATAGATAGATAGATAGATAGATAGATAGATAAACGACTGAGCTGAGCTAGCTAGCTAGATACATAGATAGATCTTAAAAATATGACATAGATCATAAAAGACTGAGATAGATAGATAGATAGATAGATAGATAGATAGATAGATAGATAGATCTTAAACGACTGAGCTAGCTAGCTAGATACATAGATAGATCTTAAAAATATGACATAGATCATAAAAGACTGAGATAGATAGATAGATAGATAGATAGATAGATAGATAGATAGATAGATAGATAGATCTTAAACGACTGAGCTAGCTAGCTAGATACATAGATAGATCTTAAAAATATGACATAGATCATAAAAGACTGAGATAGATAGATAGATAGATAGATAGATAGATAGATAGATAGATAGATAGATGTAATAATCTGAAAACAAACGAATAAGCTGGTTCCATAAAATAATTCACAACCTAATTTTTTTTCCTGCCGTGAGACCTAATTCTGATATTTAAGCTAATAACACACATATCCACACCCAGCCGCACATTCCAGTCTATTATTCGTTTTCTCCAATTCAGATCGGCAAGACTGACTTATCTTTGAAGATGCTGGTGATTTTTAGACAGAGATCGATATCCAATTATAATCTTATTGGTGCAAGAACTGCCGATAGAAATCAAAATTAGACTCGCTTCTAAAATGCCAGCGGAATATTTAATTCGACGTACAAAAATAAACTGACTTTCGGCTCGTGACAATCACATAAACAAGACACTTTAGAATTCGCTTTTTTGTTTGTTTGTTTTTAAGAAAAGAAAGCGGTACTGTAATAATTGCACATATAAGTAAATGCCATAATTTATAGTAAACTGAGCAGTCCAATCCTCACACGTCCTGTCGGCTGGGGCTGTAGAATACGCTGACTGCACTTCTGCAGAGGGGTAAAACACCCAACCGGTGTCCTGGGTAAGACGATAAACTACATCCGACAGCAAGGCCTTGATCAGAAGGTTTTGAGGAGCGTGGAACCACCTCTTAATTGCTGGTGATCCTCGGTCCACCTGACCCGGTGTGATAGCACCTGTCAGGGTCCCAGCTATGGGAAAATACTTACCCCACCCAAAGGGGTAAAAACACTATGAAAGTATAAAAATAGGTTTTAACAGCAGCGATACCTTTTTGGAAAAAATATTGCCATCAATAAATTTTTGAAAAAAAAAAAATATTGCCAGCAATAAATTTTTGAAAAAAAAAATATTACCAGCAATAAATTTAAAAAAAAATATATATCCAGCAATACATTTTTGGAAAAAAAATATTACTAGCAATAAATTTTTGAAAAAAATATTACCAACACATTTTTGAATAAAAAAATATTACCAGCAATAAAAATTAAATAACACATTGAGGTTGATATACCGTAAAGCAAAACAAACCAAACAAATCCTCATTTTCCAGTTTTGACAGAGATCAAAATCGCTTTCGGAGTCTTGCGCAGCTGGAGTGACCCTGTGACATCTTTTCAACCAACGCAACGTCTCAGGTCTATCACTAGTCTCTTGTTCAGACAAGTTCCATTTTTTAGTTCCACCAGTTCAGACCTTTACAGCCAATACCCGACTACGTCAACAGGATTGAATTGCCCACATCCGACCCGTATTCCATTGGTAAGAAGCAAATTTCACTCAGACAGATACTACTCAAGAACTGCTACCTCGAACTCTACAATTTTAATCCCTTCAAGTTTTGGGTAAATCGTTATCTGGGCTTACGGCCACATCACGTTGAAACACAGGTTCCCGTACGATCACCAAAGTTAAGCAACGTCGAGCCTGATCAGTACTTAGATGGGTAACCGCTTAGTCATAAAAGGTGATGTCAAGTTGGATGTGAGAGTAGTTGTTGGAATATTGCTAATCGGAGAGCCAAGTTCCAATTCTTGTAGGGTTAGTTATATTCACTTACACGTAGATACCCTTGGGAAAGGTATGAATCCACCTCTTCTCCCCCAGCTATGGGTTAATTAATAAGACTTGTATCACTAAATCATTATTATCTCCCCCCACACCAGGAAAAATAGTTACAATCTAAAAATGTTTTCTAGCTTTAAATAACCTGCAAAGGATTGATAAGTCCTTAGAAAGAGAATCAATAGATCAATGGAATATTGGCTTTTCGATTTATTTACACTCTCTGTTATATAAATGTATACAAATGACCATGGCCACAGTGTGAAGGATCAGTTTATATATTGATTGTAATACAGAATTGATCCCCCACTTTATATCCACATTGTAATGTATTGATTGTTTATCAAATTCTGATTAGGTATAAATCCCCCTCTTCTCAGGGGCTAATTATTAAGACTTTTACAACTAAATCATTATTATCTACCCACCCCAAAAAAAAATCTTACAATATAAAATATTTTCTGGCTTTAAATAACCGAAAAAGTGTTGATAAACCGTAAAAAACGAATCAGTCAATCAATCGTTATATAACCACCATAACCTGATAAACTCCACTTCCTATTTCCTTCTCCTATGTGCATAAAACACACCTCATTCCGTAATGATGTAACTTGAGTGACTCTTGAGCCTTGCATTGGGTGAACATTAGTATAAAAATGGCAGTTTTGAGACAAGGCGATTTTTACAAAATATCAGGTTGTCACACATGAAATGACGTATTTTACAGGAATTGAATAAAACGCTTCTGAAATGTTAAATAACCAATTTATTTAGTTGAAATAGGCACCATGTTGATAAATAATTCTTCTCCAATGTACCTCTAAATTCTTGACCCATCTTTAAAAAAAAATCTTCATTCTTTGATATGATGAACAGTTCAAATGTTTCGATTACATCTTCTTTCACTATCTGTCTATATTTCTGAGATGAGGTATTATGTACACTATTTACATTATTCGGACTATTGTCTTCAACTTTGTCACCATATTTATTACAATGTTTCGGCCATTGTACGCTTCCGTTGTAATAAATATAGCAACAAAGATGAGGACAATAGTCCAAATAATGTAAATAGTGTACATCTTCCTTATTAGAAAATGTTTTATTGCGTATTGAAAGCTTAAAATGCTTGAATAAGTGATAATCAGTAGAAGAGATATCAGGTCAATATGGAGAATGAGGCAAATTTTCATAATTCAGGCTATGCAGTTTTTTGACAATTAATTGAGAAGCGTGCATCCGGGCGTTGTCGTGTAGCAAAATTGTGCGATCCCTATTCACAAGTCTAGGATGTTTCTTTTTCGATTTTTCGTACATACGCTCAATTTCTCTACAATACGCGGTTGTTGTTATTGTTTTCCCTTGAGGCAAGAATAAATAAACCCTTCGAAAGACCACCATAGAGCAAGCATTAACTTTTTAGGGTGCAGTGGAGGTTTTGGGTATTGTTTTGATGATTCACTTGCATCTAACCACTGGCTTACTTTCTTACTGTTGTCAAAGAGTATCCATTTCTCATCGCATTTATTGATTCGATGCTAAAATTGTTCTTTTTATAGGGCTTATGGGTAACAATATATAAATTATCTGGAAAGAGAAAAGAGTCAGGAATAAGTCAAGATTTTTTTATATACTAAGGAGGTTACTTCGTTAGACGGGCGGATCAACAACCAACCAAAAACTGCGTCATTTCATGTGTGGCACTATAATACAAGCGTCATCTGGAATAGCCATGCCTGTGAAAAGTGTTCAGCATAGTGTACCATTTTTAATAAACGTTCCGCTAACTATATTTATATAAGCTTAATTTCTTATTGGGAGGCGGAGCAATGGATAGGCGCTCGAATTGAGAAATCGGAGAGCCGAGTTCGAATTCCAATCGAAACCATTCCATTCACTTACGTGCTAATACTCTTGGGAAAGGTATGAATCCTCTTCTTCTCCCCACTCCACAGTTATGGGTAAATAACAAAGCAGACTGGATTCTATAACCTTGGATGGCAACCAGTCTAGGAGAAGGAAAAACTCTGAATTTAAAACCGGCCTGAAGAAAGTTGGGCTACGTCATGCTACCTTGCCCAAGAAACATCACTTCTACTGCGACTGCAGTACAATTGATTCCCCTACGGGTCACGGGATAAAAAAAAAACAATTTCTTATTACTATAAACGTTTCTTTTTTTTTTTTTTTTTGAAATTGCTATCCCCATTTGTTTTTTTAATTTTTATTAAACAGTAAAATTAATAACAACTCGCCTAAATAAAGTCCTACTAAATAAAATGGTTGATTTTTTAATTGACTTGTTTTTATACGTCTTATCAACCAAGTCTTGGGTATGACGATAAACTACATCCGGCAGCAAGGAACCTGATCGGGAGATTGAATGTTTTGAGGATCGTGGTACCACTTCTTAATTGCCATTATACCTAGAACCACCCTGACTTGGGTGGTACCACTTGTTAGGGTCCCAGCTGTGGGCAAATAGTGAATCCACTAACAAAAAAATACTATGAAAGCATAATAATACATTTTTATAGTAAAATCACCAGCAATACATTGTTATATTGTACAATGACCAACAATACCTATTTATAGTAAAATGGCCAGCAAAACAAATTTGTAGCAAAAACAAAAAACAAAAAAACAATACAGTTTATACTATTTACACTATTCAGACTATTGTCCTCATCTTTGTCGCCATATTTATTACAGTGTACATAATACCTCATCTCAGAAATATAGACAAATACAGTTTATGTGTAGTTGAAGACATACAATTACGTTTAAATTATATTTAGCTGAAGCTATAAAATTGTGTTCAAAATATTAAAATATTTAGATTTAGGCATTAAATAACCTTTAGAGGTTGATATGCCGCTAAACAAACTCACCCAATCAACATGACATTAATTCATATAATATTCTACATTTTTTAAAGAAATCAAACTATATTCCAAATTATAACTTCAACAAAACTACAACATAAAACCCACATATCACCGCCTCTAGTAATCATGTCCCCACTAACATCTATATGCACAAAATCTCAGTATCATCTACCATGTATTCAATTGTGAAAGCAGAATAACATATCATATTTTTATTTCTTTCAAGCTCTCAAGAAAACAAATCAAATCGAATTTATCTTTTGTAAGTTATTTAAAGCCAGAAAATATTTTCAGATTGTAAGAATATTTTAAAGTTAATAACGATTTACAGATACACGTCCTACTGATTACGAACGAAGAAAGGAGGGGGATAAAAATAAGAACGAGGATCAAGGCATCAGAAGATGTCGATTGATATTACATTTAAATTTTTGAAAATTATAGCTACTAGAGAAGAAGGTAACAGGAAGGGAGTTCTACTACCGGGAAGTGCGAGAGGAGAAGCTGTTACATTTAACTGTTTTGACAGTGGGACCGAGATGCCAACCTTGTAGGACGTTTAAATTCATGCAGTCGTGCTCCAATGAAGATAGCTCGTCAGAGCCGATGCCATGAAAATATTTGTATAAAAGACGGAGGGAAGCCACATTAAGTCGGTGATAAAGTGACTGGAGTCTAGATCCCAAGTCAGGACCGATCACATTGCATATCCGTCTTTGGACTTTGTCGAGAACCTCAGGATGACCGGATGGGATACCAGACCATATATGGCAACAGTATTCAATACATAGACGAATGGTATATTTGTAGATGTGAAGTATGGACTCAGACAAGAAAAACCTTCTGTCGCGACACAGATAACCAACTTTCCTTGCAGTAGATGCAGCTATTGATTCAATGTAGTTGTTCCATCTTAGCTCAGTGGAAAACGTGAGACCAAGAAGGTGCAGTGAGGTGCTCTCGTAGGGTTGAGCATCAGACATACTGATAGGAAGCAGATAAGTTTCTCTTTGGTGAGTAAATGACACCAGTTTCCTTTTGGATGCATTAAAATTCACAAGCCATTTCCTGCCCCGGTTAACCACAGATTGGAAGTCCTTTTGAGACCAATGGTCAGGCTAGTTTTGTCAGCAATGTCGGATTTATTATTGAGACAGGAGTAAATGGTAGTGTCATCTGTGTAGATGCCTACTTGAGAACTGATGACATCAGGACGATCATTGATGAAGATCAGAAACAGTATAGGGCCAAGGATAGAGCCTTGAGGAGCACCAGCGTTTGTATGAAAGGAACTGGAAGAGAACCCGTTCAGGACAACCTTCATTTAACGATTAGACGGAAATGACTGGATTAAATCAAATAATCGTCCTGTAAAACCGTATCCCTGAAGCTTGTGTAGAAGGCCAGCATGCCAAACACTGTGAAAACTGATAGAATTAAAAACAAATTGCGTAAATAAATAAATAATTCACTAAAATCTGGTTTTGACTAGGAACAGAGGGAAAGAGCAAGAAACCAATCTTTTGTCTAAATGGATAACAAAACAGCGAAGGGCGGGAAGAAACACTGCTCAGAAGGACAGACGATTGCCCACGTTCTGAACAGACACAGGATATAGAAGTTTCTTTCTCACATTCGCTTCACCATCGTATCAAGTCGCCATTGTTTCTATATGATTAAATAACGTCAAACTGACTTCAAATCCATCGACATCTGCGTTTCCTTGAGCCGTAGAACTTGTGAGCAACATTTCAGATTATAAACAGTGGGCCATCTCTTCTGTTAACAATGAGCCATCTTGATATCATTGAGACGTTGCTTATGCTACAATATCGTTGGTTTTTTTTTTATCAAAATGTGATACAAGTTTTCTCACTTTTCTCCTTCGCCTCTTTTAGTAATTTACCATCAATATTGCTTGCTCTCTCCTTTATTCAGACACCACGTGATATAAATGGACTCGTCATTATAAGAGAAAAAATGTCTTACCAAATCTATATATTGAATTGTGAATATAATACTTTTTATTACAGTGAGTAATTATCATTAAAAACTATGAAGTTAATCTATTTAATACTCAGACTCTTTAGATTATGTTACAAACAGGTGCTGAAAAAATCTCGGCTCAGTCAAGAGGAATGACCTAAATCTACCTTATTTACATTATTACACTATTGTCCTCATCTTTGTCGTTCATTAAACATGGCTCGTATTATGTATTATGTACACTATTTACATTATTCGGACTATTGTCCTCATCTTTGTCGTTCATTAAACATGATACGTGAAACTAGAACAGTCTACCCCAGTGAGCGAAATAAAGGGTTAAGTTCGACATTCCAACCACCTGAAGAAGGCCGGAGCGTACAACGGCCGAAACGTTGTAATAATATGGCGACAAAGATGAGGATAATAGTACGAATAATGTAAATAATGTACATAATACCGCATCTCAGAAATATAGACAGATACAAAATCTACCTGGCACAATAGAATAAAAGTTTCTCCTTGTTTTAGATCGTAGAACTCGCTCAGTCCCGGGGATTCCCATAATGTAGCAGTACCTTTCTCATTGTAGTAAAAGACGAAATGTCGGTGTAATATAAATGCCATCATGACAGTGGTCTCGGGGAGTGAGCAAAAAATGTTATCCTTAGCGAATCTGTATACGTTTGTGTATGGCGCTCCCCGCGTTAAAACGGCCTTGTGTTACATCCCGCCTTAGTGGGGCGGCCGAGTAAAAATACCTAAAGCTGTGAGCATTATTCAACCAACAATTCAACATATTCGGCATATTTCCTTCTAAAACTAATTCTGATATTTGGTGATTTAAATCTTCTTCTTCTTCTTCTTCTTCTTCTTCTTCTTCTTCTTCTTCTTCTATGTGCTGTGTTCTATCATGTCGGCGGCGTTCATGGCTCTCCACGACTTCTTATACTTTGTATCTTCACCATCTCTCCCACTCCTTGTTTTGCAATCAATTTTCACAAGCAGTTGAGTAAAGTTACTCGATGTTTCCCTTTGCTTCTCTTGCCTTCAATCTGTCCCCTGAGTATCAAATTCTCCTAGCCTTCTCTCCTCCTTAAGTGTTCCAGGAATTTCGACCGCCTTTCTGATTCTAAGCACAATTATTCTTTTTGTTCTAGTTATTTTTACAAAAACATCCTCATTGCTTACATGCTGCGTTTTTGCCGCTCTTCTATAGAATGACATTTTTGTTGCCTCCAGTCTTTTTTATTTGTGAGTAAATTGCTCAGCATTCAATGCCATTTAGGAGGATTGATATAAAACAGTAATTCAGATCTCTTTTCTTTGCTTCTAACGAAATTCTTCTGTTTTTTAATGCTTTGTTTGATATTTTAGAAGACATCTAATAGGTCTTCGGAATTTTGTCACATTTTCTATCGTCTGCTATAACTGAAATACTGACTATGGAAAGTAAATCTGGCTGAGGATTTCAAGTTTGTAATTTATCTATATTACATTGATCCAACTTATATTTCTGCAAAAACGGCCCATCGTAGCGTAGTTAGGGCAATATTGTTAAAATGACATAACTTGAAGAATAGACTAATTTTCAGTTAAATATCCAACATGATATGTATATGATCTATCGCTTTCTTTTTCACATTTTCTTTCTTATTTCGTTTCCCTTTTTTCTCTCTCACACTTTTTTCTCTTTCATTATCTCACGTTTTCTCTTTCTCATTCTCTTTTATTTACTATCTTTCGTTTTCCCTTTTCACCTACTCTTTTTCTCTTTTCTTTCCTTTTTTATCAGTTTCTCTTCTCACTGTTTTTTCTTTCTTTTTCTTTTCTTTTTTCATTTTCTGTCTCTTTCGTTTTCTCTTTCCGCTGTCTTTCACATCCTTTCTCTCGCTCCCTCTCTCACTTTCCCTCTTTCTCTATCTTTCATTTTTTTCCTTTTTCTCTCGATCCTTTCTATCTCTCGCCTCTTCCCTACTTTCTTTCTTCCCCTCCCTCCTTCATTGTCATTCTCTCCATCTTTTCTATCCATTCTCTCTCTCTCTCTCTCTCTCCGCCTGTCTTTAGTTTCCTCCTCCTCTCCTATTCTATATCGCCTTCCTTCCCTCAAACCGTCAGTACATACCCCCCTCACGTTCTCTAATATTCTTATCTCTTTCCTTCTCTCACCATATGTATCCCTTCTTCACCCGTCCTCTCACTCTCTTAATAAATAATCAGGCTATTTCAAAATGGTGGAAATAATTTCCTTCGAAAAGAATAAGCCAGATATAGACGAAGAAGAAACAGTGAAATCGTCTGATTCTATTCAAACTAATAATAGTATTATTACCTTTATTTTTTATTGCTTTTTTATGTCTATTTGCTGTTTTTTATATCTCAGTTTCTATCGATTATAAGTTGTTATCGTCGTTCGACAAATCCTTATCATTGCTGCGACTAGGTTTACTGTTTAAACGCTTAGTCGTTGCCCAAGTTTCTCGCCATTACAATTTAGTGATCATTTTACATTGAGTTTTCCTATGATCAATAGCATTTATTCTTAATATTACGAAAGAAAAGACGGGGAAAAACGACACAGACTCTAAACTCGTGAGGATGATGCCATTAAAACTACTATTTAATATAAACGATCTTCATACAACCAAATTCAATGCTACTATTGTTATTTCCATGTTTTTGCATCTGTACTCCAGATGTTTCTTATGTTAAGCAACGCCAAGCTTGGTCAGAATCTAGATGGGTGACCGTTTGGGAATATCGGGTGCTGTAACTTGAATGTACGGGTGGTATGGCTTACAGCATATCACATTGAAAAACTAGTTTTCGTACGATCACTGAAGTTAAGCAACTCAAGCTTGGTCAAAATCTAGATGGGTGACCCTTTGGGAATATCGGGGCTGTATCTTGGATGTACGGATGGTATGGCTTTCAGCATATCACATTGAAAAACTGGTTCTCGTATGATCACTGAAGTTAAGCAACTCAAGCTTGGTCAAAATCTAGATGGGTGACCCTTTGGGAATATCGGGTACTGTAACTTGAATGTACGGATGGTATGGTTTACAGCCATATCACGTTGAAAAACTGGTTCTCGTACGATCACTGAAGTTAAGCAACTCAAGCTTGGTCAAAATATACATGGGCGACCGTTAGGGAATACCGGGTGTAAGTTTGGGGGTATGATTGGTATAGCTTACAGCGATATCACGTTGAAAAACTAGTTTTCGTACGATCACCTAGGTTAAGCAACGTCAAGCTTGATCAACATCTAGATGGGTGACTCTTTGGGAATATCGGGTGCTGTAACTTAGATGTTCGAGTGGCATGGCTTACAACCATATCTCGTTGAAAAACTGTTTCTCATACGATCACCGAAGTTAAGCAACTCAAGCTTGGACAAAATATAGATGTGTGTCCACTTGGAAATACCAGGTGCTGTAAGTTTGGATGTGCGGGTGGTGAAATGAATAATTGCTCGGAATTGAAATCGACTCGTCCAGTTCAAATTCGGGCTCTTATATTTACTTACACGTAAATACCCCTGAGAAACGTATGAACCCTCTCTTTTCCCTCCAGCTATGGGTTAATTAGTATGAATTGTACCCGTAAATCACAATCTCGAAAAATTCTTATAATCTAAAAATATTTTCTGACTTTAAATAACCTTTAAAAGGCTGACAGACCGTAAAAAATACATCACTCAATACAGATTTATCTGTTAGTCATCCTTCAGGGACAAGTGACCACAAGACCCCAGAAAATATTTAGTATTCTTACAGATTTTGACAGTATTGGAATAATATGTTATTTTATTTTATGCTAATGTTCGGCTAAGGCTCGAGAACCAGTCAAGGAAGACGATTACTGTTGAAATGATAATGACGAATGAGGTGCGTGGCAGCAATGAAAGAGGCGGCGGTAGGAAATGAAGATTATGAGGATGAGTAGCATAAATAACGATTAACCTATGATATGGAGAGGTTAAGATTGTAATGTTCAAGAAAGCACTCAGGCGGGAGTATCTTCCACAAAGTGACAGTTCTTGGGAGAAAGCTGTCTGCGTGGAACATGCTTCTTCAATTTTGAATACGGTGGAAATGAGGAAGACTCTACTCCTTGGAAGTGGCATGAAGTCTTCTAGGTGTAATGATCTGAACTGGTGGAACTAAAGAACTGAGTTCATCTGAACATTTGCCATGGAAATAGCGATAGGCTTGCGATGTCGCAGGAAAAGAAAAAAAATCTCCAGAGTTCAAAATAATTCTTCCCTCACAAGACAGTTTGAACTCTATCAAGGCTGGAAAATGAATACTATGCAACTCCAGTAACCGCTTTTGGTTTCATGTGACTCTTGTAAAGTTAAAGCATATCAGAAAAGTTATAGACTAATTAATTTGTTTTTTACCGTTTATCACCCTTTTTCAGGTTATTTAAAGCGAGAAATGTTTTTTTAGATTGTAAGAATATTTTTGGAGATAATAATGATTTAATGATGCAAATCCAGCTAATTAACCCATAGCCCGAAAGCGGAATAATTAAATTCAGCTAGTCACAATTACAGAACATACTATAGTATTCCTTACACCAAACCAACACATCATTACTTACAATTCTTGCTACAATCACCATAATACCTCTGTGTCTCTATGAAGTCCTAACCATATTACCATAGCGGAAAGTTCATCAGAACAATTACCATGAAAGTATTTATAGAAAATGTCCAAGGAAGCTATGTTATGGCGGTGGGAAAATCAATGAAGCCGAGATGCCAGGTCAGGACCAATAACACTGCAGATTCTTCTTTGAATTTTATCAAGAATCTCTAAATACCTAGCAGAAGCACCAGACCCGATGTGGCAGTAACATTCTATACATGGACGAATGATTAGACTTATAAATATGTAAAATAGATTGGTTTCGTTTTGTTTGTTTTGTTTTACAGTATATCAATGGGTTATTTAATGCCAACAAGATTATTATTGCTGGTAATATTTATTTACAAAAATGTATTGCTGGTAATATTTTTCTTCAAAAATGTATTGTTGTTAATAATGTATTGCTGTTAATAATTTTTCCTCAAAAGATTTATTTCTGGTATTAAAACCTATTTTAACTCTTTCATAAAGTTTTGACCCCAATTTCACAATAGTTGCGACCCTAACAGGTGCTGCCACCCCGGGTCAGGGTGAACCTGACAATTAAGAGGTGTTTCTAAACTCCTCAAAACTTCCTGATCAGAAGCCTTGCTGTTGGATGTAGTTTATCGTCATACCCAGAACATGGATGTCGTTCATCGTCTTACCCAGGACGCGGAGGTAGTCGCTCGTCTTACCGAGGACGCGGTTGTAGTTTATCGTCTTACCTAGAAAGCGGATGGCGTTTATCGTCTTACCGAGGACGCGGTTGTAGTTTATCGTCTTACCCAGGACGCGGGTGTAGTTTATCTTCATACCCGGGGCACGGATGTCATGTATCGTCTTAACCAGGTCGTGGATGTCATTTATCGTCCTAACTAGATCGCTGTAAGATAGACACTTTTTCTCGACAGAATCTAACACGATATATTGTTGTGCCTATATATGTGTTAGTGGCAGTGGAGTTGGTGTGCTCGAAGCATGAGCAGATCGATAGGTCATAATGGGTCACCAACTTCACGAACAAGCGTTTTAACTCATTAACATATTGTCTTGGAGCTTGGAGCTGTTGAAGACTTGCGTTCATTTATGAACGGCTCCCATATCGTATTTATTTCTATGCTAGACCTACTGAGGAACTCTCCATAGCCTAGCATTTGCGCTGATCCTTTCAGACGTCTGAAAGCCGGAGAGACATTCATTTATGCGCGATCGACCTCGTAGCCCATCCCCTCTTCAGGTCAAACCACGGCCGATATCCTCCATGTTGGAAACTCGCTTTCCTCATCGACACGTGGTCGTTGATTTCGTTCGGATGAACACTCGTCCCAGGCTGTTGACTTCAGACCCAGGAAGCCCTCCGTCCAGCGATGCCGCACCATCAACGCATTGGCTGTATCCATAGCTATGTTGCTCAGTCTATTCTAGTGCGCTAAATGGCCGATGAACCGACTAGAAGCTTTATCCATTTTTTGACAGGCCTTGTATTTAATCTTGCTTCGTATCTGTGGTGAACAGTCCCGTAGAAGCAAGCGAGCCAAATTGGCTTGCATCTGGTGCATAGGAAAATAAGGGTCTTACCTTAACGGACGGCACGTGACACCGGCAAGGTTACCCCGTGAAAATGGCATTACTCTCCCGTCTAGCAGTATGCGCGGTAACGAGGGGTTTTTGTACAGTTTGGCATGCTTCCACCAATAGTAAGCCGTTTGCTGATTGGTCGAACTGGAGGAAGCTATTTGCCTGGGTAACTAGGAATAAAAGCGAAAAACGCTGATTGGTTGGTCGACCATAGTGTTGGCCTGATAAAAGAGGGCTGAAGCGGTGAAAAGGGCAGAAGGAAAGACGGATATACGTTGTGACGTGTTCAGAAAGCAAGGACGGCGAATTGAACCCGCGGTATCTTGATTTGTACAAGTGACAATGTAGCAATACAGTGTTGTTCATGATAACGGTCGTCTTCGAGTATAGAATCCAGAGGTTAGCAGTGAATATTTCGAAGACAGTAGGAAAGCGTTGTTCAGATTAGCAGTGGATATTTTGGTAAAAGTAGCAGAGCGTAGTTCAGTAGTTCTGTTCCTCTTCGCCTGACAAGCTAGAACTGGACATTTGAGTAGAGTAAACAAAATGGCCGCCTTTATACACGACGGATTGAATATTCTACGTCTTCTGATTGGTTAACCTTCTATTGGTGGACTATAAAGTAAGTCAAGTCATTTGGGCTAACTCACTAGTACATAGTATACACAAAAAACTGCAACATACAGACTTATTTAAACGATAGTATCTAACCATCCCACATCACCAGAAAATTCTGATAAGGGATCTGGTTGATGATTCATGGGTTAGGTGGTACTAGCTTACAAGGTACACTGTAGAGTGAGTTGATATAAAATGAAGAATTAAGATATTTTCCTTTGTCGGTATATAATATCTAAATCAATTTTGTCAAATCCACAAAACTAGAGTCGTGTTCTATATTACATGAGATACACATAAATTGCCACGCTTAAATTATTGATCTTGTTTCCCGTCTCCTATTAGGTTGCAAATGAATCGCAATTTTTTTTTTTTTAAATCTTGTTTATATGTTAATGTGATCATCTTTTATCCCATGGAGTTTCTCATTTAATAAAATTCTGTCTTGTGTTTGCGCAAGAAACGACAACAAATTGGACATGAGAGGAAAAGAATCGACCAAGAGAGTCGCTTGTAATCCGAACGCCGCTTTATCCACTTGACATGTTTGTTTTTCGACTAGAAGGCTTCCCAGAAGACATTTTATCTTTCCGTTTGTCGTATATAGTGATAAACAACATTGACTGTAATGACGTCATTATAGAAATTTCAGTAACAAAAAACGGTATATAAAAATAGAGTAACACTCATATGTACCGGAACAAGTTGTTAAAACTAAGAGAAAAAAAATGAAGGATTAGTTTAAAAAAACAAACAAACACGGGATGGCGTGCGGCGTAACATCAAATATCGTCTGCTTCAGGGCGAGGTTGCTTGCATGAAATAATCGATCGGTTTCTCCTCTGTGAATGCGCACACAAGTACGCATGCTTATGTGGATAGTTTTGTTTATATTTCCGGGTCGTGTGCACAGCATATTATGCTACCTTAGTTGGCGGCCTTTGCGTAAAGGAAAATTTTTCAGAGACAGATCTGTGTAAAGTTATGTAAGCAAAAGAAGAAACAAAAAAGTATCGGCGATAAGAAAAGATCGATCTATTTCAAATTGTTCATATCTATCTATCTATGTATCTATCCTCAATTCATATCTATTTGTACAAGCCTTTTTCTATCTATCTATCTATCTATCTATCTATCTATCTATCTATCTATCTCAGTCTGTTCCTATCTATCTATTAAAGTTATTCATATCTATCTACACATTATTTATCTATTTTTAACCAGTTCATATCTATCTATCTATCTATCTATCTATCTATATTCAATTCATACCTATCTCACTTTGTTCCTATCTATTTCAAGTTGTTTCTATCTATCTATCCTCAATTCACATCTATTTGTACAAGTCTTTTTCTATCTATCTATCTATGTGTTTATATAAATGTACCTTTTCTCTTTGTTTCTATTTCCATCTGGTCATATCTATCTATCTATCTATCTATCTATCTATCTATCGATCTATCTATCTATCTATCTATCTGTCTGTCTGTCTGTCTGTGTTCATATTGCATCACAAAAAGTAAAAATAAATTTGTATAATCTAAACAGTCAGTATTGCGCTTTGGGCTAAAATAAATTAAGTGAAAAATGAATAAGAATATTCTTCTGTAATTTTCGTATGCAATCTGATATACACTGTAATGAACAGAATAGGGAATTTGTTTATTACGTTTACTATTCAATACACTACTGTACTGTATAAAGTTTCAGGAATAAATGAGGAAAGTTAGAAATGGGGCAAAGCAGGTTGACACAAACCCATTACATGCGTTTAATGACTGAAATAGCAGTCAAGTACAGCTTCTCACTTAGCGACCAGTTTGTTCTCACTTAACTCAGTCGTTAAGTGAGGAGTGGTTTTACCGGGTATTTCCTCTGTCTCCCCACTAAGACGAGTTGTGACACAAGGTCAGTTTTTAAGGTGGGACACCCGAGCGCGTACACCCGGGCTAGGAACAAAAATAAACCGCAGCCCTGGCAACCGTAGGTTTCGTTGGCCTCGGTGAGAGCACCGATTCCTTTCTCTGGTGCAATGAGAGGGCGCGGCCTCGAGCAGCTGTTCACCAGGGCTGAGTACCTCTCAATATAAATTTCCTCAGTGGCGACTCTGTCCTTTGACGGAGTGCACTCTGCCCAAAGACAGAGGCAACTGAGAGATGATAAGTAATGCTTTACAAACTACACGAGAGAATGGTTTTATTATTGCACAGAATTAGCTACTTTTAATTTTTCCTAATTTAAAAAAAAAGGAACAACGACATTTGAACGAATTGATTAATATATCAAATGGTTTCATTTTAATAGACTTCGTGTCACATTTATATTAAATTTTACCTTTTTACCGGTGTTTCTAAGTTTTATTTACTGTTTTTTTCTAAGACAGAATATGGAATCTCAATAAAATGGATGTCATAATTGAAAATTATAATTAATCGAACGTGCGCAAAGTTTATAAAAACAAATGATTATTATATTATTCGGACTGTTATCCTCATCTTCATTGCCATATTCACAACGTTTCGGCCGTTGTACGCTCCGGCCTTTATGTCTATGTCTCTCTCTATATCTGTCTATATCTCTGAGATGAGGTATTATGATTACTTGCATTATTTACATTATTCGGACTGTTATCCTCATCTTCATTGCCATATTCACAACGTTTCGGCCGTTGTACGCTCTAGTTCTAGTTCCACCTGCCACACCTCTTCCGGATGTCTCAGTTATTTCCCAGTAACTGTACTCTCCCAGCTTTTTGGTCCACCACTGCTGTAGGATAACAGTCCAAATAATGTAAATAATTTAAATAATCATAATACCTTATCTCAGAGATATACACAAAAACAAATGATTTTAAAATAAATATTGAAGTTAGCGGTTTTGTAATGGCGTCAAATCTATCGCAACATTAATATTAACCGTATGTTTCCTTTTCTGATTTTTATAAATCGTTCCTCTATTGATTTTCCGATTTTTGGTATTTCCTCATATAAATCCAACTGCACAGTGTCCAGAATAGCATGCCAATGTTCTTTCTTGTTGGTAAATTGCCGTATGCCAATGTAAATATTTCTGTACATAATGTTACAGTATTGTTCAATGGGGTCGGAAAGTTCGAAGGTCGGACGAGTGATCTGAAATCCATTTTATCCGGATATTCATTAGTTTCTTTCGTCGAATTTGATGAGGCATTGTTGAACATAAAAATTGTAAGTCTTTCAATTTTGCTTGAACTATATTTCTACGTGAGCCTTCAAACATTCTGTTCATATCTGTGCTGTCTTCTAAAGATCATTTAGAAGTCACCAGTGATGTACTACGCGTAATCATTGGCGTAGATAGGGCGTGTGCCGCCCGAGGAATCCCTTAAAATTGCTCCCTACTCAGCCTGCACAAAATTAAACTTATTACAGAGTGACACCCTCTGATATATATATATATATATATATATATATATATATATATATATATATATATATATATATATATATAAGAATAGACTAGAATAATCTTAAGGAGCCAGGCAAACCTACCTAGGATTCACCTAAACGGATCTTCAGAGTAAAACTGGCTAAAAAGGATGTTATGGGATGTTACGCTCTCGTCATTTCGATCAAGCACTATTAAATAAAAGGTAATTCCAAAAAAGTAGCCATCGCCGCTATTAAAGCACTGCTCTTCATTGATGAATTAAGCACTTTGACTGATTCGTATATAACACGTTAGAATTTCCCTTTCTCTGCTGCGTACCGATAGCTTAGGGATAGGATCTCTGACTGAGATTAGGTCGGGTTTCGATCCTGGCTTTTCTTTACCAACGCGTTTCGTCCTCTGGGGAACTTTATCAAGGTAAATGTTTTATTTTGTATTTTGAGAACGGTTTAAAATAATCTTATAGCTAGAAAAGAATATTAGAAAAGGTAAATTAATGTGGACGCTAAGTGATATAATTTATTGTTTAATAAACGAAAATGTGTTTAAGCTGTTTTTGATGCTGTTGATTTTTTTCATTTTTTTCATTTAATTATTTTATCTTATTTTGCTTAATTATTTATGAATTAATGCATGTATTTTAATTATTTAAAAGTCAAGGGTTAACCGTTTTCTTATAATTCAAAAAATATGTGGTCAGGTATTTTGGCTTGGAAAATGAGTGTCACCTTTAAGAAAATAGATATTTGAAAGTATCTATGTTGTAAGTTAACATTTTGGCAAGAGTCGATGAATGCACTCTCGAGAACTTTTCATCTAAGTAAGTTATTTTCTCTTTTAATAAGTATAGTGATATGTCCCTGAAAGGGATATATTTGATCGAAGTAGGTAAGTGGTTTTGGCTACTGTAACCAAATAGTACACGGTAGCAGTAATCGACTGGTACACGTCGTAGTCGCAGGTAATAGGTGTAGACCAATAGGATAGCCAATGGCGTAGTCAAATGGGCGTCGTCATAGACTTAAACTCTGTCGTACCTACACGTCCGTCTGTATTTATGACGGACACCAGTCAATCATATTCCAGTGAGGGGGAACACAGGTGTATGCATATTCCATTATATCATATTGCATACTTGAGATCGAAGTTGTGGTTGAAATTATTTCTGTTATTATTTTGTTATATACGAATCCTTTCCTCTGTCCAAGAGAGTGAAGGAGATAAATATGAACGCACGAAGATGAGGGATAAAAAGAAAATAAACTTCGAATGATTAACATTATTTGTAAGTAATTCAATGCACAGGCGATGACCTGCTTTTACACACGAATCCGAATATGCAATAATCACGTGACAGTTTATGTTTGCACATTCGTGCCTGTTTGCTTGCGTGCGTTTACATCTCAACAAAATGAATAAGTCGTCTGTACAGAAGCAAACACTTTTTGCTTTGTGCTCAGTTTCTCATCCAACAGAAATTTTCTTGTTTTGTCGCCCAGCTCTCAACCAGCAAGGTCGCAAGGCGTTGACCGAGTTCAATCTCCTCGGGTGACTGGACTGGACAACTAACAAACGGACATTTTTTTTTAACAGGTCCAACTCATGCGTGTGTCGTAAATAGTCAAACCACCTTTAAAATAAAGTCCAGATTCTGATTCAAAGTTCGCTTTTCAATTTCTAGCTTAATGTTTAAACTCTGAAACACCAATACGTCCTTGCGCTAAATCAAAGCTGGCTTTAGTAAACAAACAACTATTTTCCTAGACTATACCCTACGCATACACAAGCACAGATTGAATTCAATAATAAAAGACAACGATCCTGTTTTCCATACCAAGACCAATGTACGGATGATGGGGAGTGGAGCATGCCAATGATATAGGTATTCAGACTTGGGATAAGAATGATCTTCAAAATAAAATCAACATCCTCTAACACGTGCTCCATTAAATAGGACTCAAGATAAACCTTTCCAAAACAGAAGCTATTACGTGGAATTGAAATTGAATCAATGATGGCCCCTACCGTAAATTCATAATAAAAATGTTAATATCCTCTATCAAGTGTTCTAAGAAATAGGATTCAAGATAAATCTTTCCAAAACAGAAACTATGATCTGGAATTGGAATGAAAGCAATGATGGCATCTACCCTGAATCCATCATCAAAATGAAAACATCCTCTATCAAGTGTTCTAAGAAATAGGACTCAAGATAAACCTTTCCAAAACAGAAACTATGATCTGGAATTGGAATGAAAGCAGTGATGGCACCTACCCGGAATCCATCATCAAAATGAAAACATCCTCTATCAAGTGTTCTAAGAAATAGGACTCAAGATAAACCTTTCCAAAACAGAAAATATGATCTGGAATTGGAATGAAAGCAGTGATGGCATCTACCCTGAATCCATCATCAAAATGAAAACATCCTCTATTAAGTGTTCTAAGAAATAGGACTTAAGATAAACCTTTCGAAAACAGAAACTATGATCTGGAATTGGAATGAAGTCAGTGATGTTACATACTCTGAATTCAATAAATTAAAACTAAACACACCTTACACAATCGAACGACTCCCATATAACAACCTTCCGGGTCAACAAGATCTTTTCAAAATGCTTACTTTTACTTATGACGGCTGACACCTTATTATTGAGTATAACAAATTCAGTCGAGACTTCTCCTTCTCCAAATCCACTGAATACATCGATCTAATAGAGGAGGTCTATCAGTTCAAGAATTCTTATATGTTTGGCGAGGACCCCAATCCAGAAACATTTCAAACTTCATCGGGAGTACAAGAAAGAGGAAATGAGAACGTCAGTCTATTTAATCTTTTCTTAGGATATGTCTTTCATTTATACAAACACAGATGTAAAGAGATGGGCAGTGATCATTTAAGCATTCTATATCACATCCCACACCAAATCCGATAATGAAAGACAACGAACCTGCTTTCTCTAACGAAAACAATGTACTGATGATGGTGGGTGTGGGTAAGCCAATGAAATAGGTATTTATAGTTGGGATAAGAATGACCTTGAAACGAAAAGCAACATCCTCTAACTAATGTTCCACGAAATAAAACTCAAGATAAATCTTTCCAAAACAGAAACTATGATCCTGAATTGAAATGGAATCAGTGATGATACTTAGCCTGAAGATATCCTATAATGCGGGATGTGGAATTAGTAAATACTAAACACTTCAAATACTTCTCTGTATGGATCAGTTATTATGAATTTAGTAGAGGAGATAAAAAAATTATAAAGAATAGGCTGCGCTAGGGATAGTTTTTCCCAATACAACAAGTTGCCACAAAACCAAAATATTAGGCTAAAAACTCGAGGTACGTTTTTAAATATCCTCATCAGATCGAACCTTTTATATGGATGTCATGCATGGCGCTAAAATCGTCCAGAAATATCTAAACTTTTTCAGTTTAAAATGCCTTCGAACAAATGAAACATATATATATATATATATATATATATATATATATATATATATATATATATATATATATAAATTAATTATTTAAAATATTGTTTTTTTTTATGTTTTTTCACTACAGTTCTAACCATGTTTAAAAAAATTTTAAATCAATTAATTTATAATATTAATGCTCTGTAAATTTACATTGAGCACTATTTTGTAAAAATAAAAATATCTATAAGAACACCGGATTATATAGCTTACTGTTCTTTCTTTTTTTATTTATATATAAATATATATATATATATATATATATATATATATATATATATATATATATATATATATATATTTTATAATATTTTACATCGCTACACAATAATTTTCATGTTTCGGAACTTTAAAATTCTTCCTTATCAGGCGATGTTAGATAACTTATGATGGAAATGATTTACTTGAGAAATCAGAAAACATTTTGGTAGATCATTTGAGAGTCAAAAAGAAGCGGGGGACCAAAATTCTAAAATTAAAAGAACACATTTCTTGGCATGTCTTGAGTAACCAATTAAAAGACGGGTCACGCTAAAATAGAAAAATGAAATATAAGGTCAGAAGGCAAGTGGGTTATTAATTCATGCCTAGATAAATTGCCACATTAGACATGTCCATCACAGACGACGTCCTGTTGCAAATATAAAGTTTAGATACTGGGAAGTAGACACAGAGTTATATTTACTATAAAGTTATTTTTTTAAGGAATTTCAAGATTTTTTTAAAAAAAAATTATACATCAGAACTTTCTTAAAGATGCCTCTAGTGTAATTAAAAGATTTATATATATATTTTGAACCCAAAATACGATACTTATTATATTGAATGGGCAATAAAATATGGCAATATTAAAGTTGAAAAATCAAAGAATTAAATAAATATTATGTGGACCATTATATATTAATAAAATCATGAATATGTAATTGCAAGCGTAGACTTTTCATGAAAAATTATTTTAACTATATTTTAAAGTAAACATTATACAACGCCTACAAATTACAGTTAATTCATTTCTCTGATTTAGAAGAACTTTATTTTTAGGAAATTTTATAATATGCAGCTTTTCGTGTAAACACAGGGGGGGGCGTCGGCCTTATAAGGATTTACAAATTCTCGTTTTGATATATATATATATATATATATATATATATATATATATATATATATGGTGTATCAAAAATAATTTTATAAAATTTGGGAGCGAATTCCTCACACCAAGACAAGGAAGAAGTCCATATAAACATATGTGCACAAATCTTTCGTTTTCGAGTTAAGTCTGAAGAAAGTTTACGGTAGATGGCGTTGTCTTGCCATGTAGACTAGGTTACATTTATCATTCGTGTATATTTGTAGCTAGTCTGTCTTCAACGTTTAACGAGTGTAGTAGTGACTTGACTAAGAAGTGTTCCGGTTAACAATGGCAGGATATTCATATCGTGAGCAGGGAAATATGATTTTTACATAGGACCGCGCGAATGGTAATGGAGGCGAGGTTGCATCAGATTGCGCTTCCAGACTGAAAGCAACCGAGTCATCCAACATTTGCTGCTGTTTATCCTCACTTCAGAAACCGTGGAACCACTAAGAAGACCGAGATCCGTTCATTCGCCTGACAACGACGAATACATTCTACAGACTATCGGAGACGATTCAGATATCTGCATTTTTCAAGTGACCCTAGCATGTCATATATCTCATAGTACCACATGGAGGGTACTTCAAGAGCAGCTCCTGAATCATTTGCAACGTGTTCAGGGTCTTTCGCTCTCTGATCACTCACCACGGGAGAACTTTTGACGATGGTTTATTGCACAAACTGCCGATTCGTTGCTTGTCTCTTCAGTCTTGTTAACGGATGAAACAATATTTGAAAGAACTAGAGCAACAAATTTACACAACCAATATCTGTGGCCAGATCTGAATCCCCATGGTACAATACAGGCTAGACAGTAGCATCAGTTTACGATTAATGTCCAGGGTGGAATTTTAGGTGACTGTCTAGTAGATCCATATGTTCTTCCAGCACGTCTTACAGGAGCTGTCTGCAGGGTCTTTATTTCGAACACACTCCCAGACCTGAGAGAGGATGTACCCCTGATAATACAAAGATGCATGTTGTTGATGCAGGATGGAGCTTCAGTACATTTTAGTCCCATTGTTCGCAATGCACTGGATGTCATCTACTCTGAAAGATGGATATGTAGGAGAGGGTCGGTTTCATGGCCTGCACGTTCCACCGACCTCAATCGTTTGGAATTTTATTTGTGGGGCCACCTAAAACAATTGGTTTATGCAACAAATATTAATAATGCAGATACGCTTCATCAACGTGTGATGGGAGGGGAGGGGGCCTGCGAAACAATTCGATGACATGTAGGAGCATTTGAAATGGACCATCACAAAAATACGATATATAAAAGATATTTATATTTCACGGTCTTTTACGACTTCCAGTTTCATGTGAACGCCCGGTTTATTTATGGGTAGCTACACAATCGTCAGGCGGTTGTAAAGGACAGGAAACTCAAGTCTCAATTTTTTATATATTGTATTTTTGTATATTACTTTGTATAATTATTTACATTTTACTTCGAGCATTGTGCTTTTGTAACATTTTTATTCCTTGTTATATAAAAGCATACACACACATATATATATATATATATATATATATATATATATATATATATATATATATATATATATATATATAAGGCTCAAATACTAATATTCCATGGTTATGATGTATTACATTGAAATCGTAATCACGATCCAATTCATCAGAAAAAGTTTTTGTGAAGGGGTTTCATCCATTAGGACTTCATCGAACTGGGTTTGTTGATGTTGTTCTGGCTATACATGCGCGTGTATATGTATGTACGTGAGTGTATTTGCATATACGTGAGTTTATTTGTATTTGTGTTTCGTTTTTTATTGATTCATTGATTTGTTTTTTATGGCTTATCAACCTTTTGCAAGTTATTTAATGCCAGAAAACGTTTTTAGATTGTATGAATTCTTTTCAAGATAATAATGATTTACTGATACACGTCCTACTAATTAACCCATAGTTGTGGGGAGAAGAGGTAAGTTCATACCTTTCCCCAAAGGTATTTGTGCGTAATTGAATATAACGAACTCGACTGGAATTGGAACTTAGCTCTCTGATTTCCAATTCCGAGCCGTTATCGATTTCAACATCGATTAAATCCGAGCTTTCATCATCTGGTATTCCCAAGCGATCACCCATCTAGGTCCTGACTAGGCTCGACGTTGCTTAACCTCGGTGATTGTATGAAAACCGATGCTTCAGTGTTATATGGCCGTAAGGTATGCGTGTGTGTGTGTGTGTGTGTGTGTGTGTGTGTGTGTGTGTGTGTGTGTGTGTGTGTGTGTGTGTGTGTGTGTACGTTTTCCAAAGAAGGTTGGTGTGAATCAGTCGACTCCAGTAACAGCTTGCTCGACAGTGTGTAAAAAAAAAAAAATGATGGTTAGTTCTTTGTTTACGCAATGTGTGTTCGGAAAGTGGCGGGGATCGGGGACGCGATAAGTCTTTTCGGTTATAAACGCTGACCACGTGACAGCGAATTCGTGCGGGAATGAATTAACTGATTGGCGTTATGGCTTCACGGGAAAATACAGATAAGAAAAAAAAAACTAAAATTAAAAATAGTTAACTAAAAAAGCATTGGTTCCTACAAATGGAATAGATTGATATACTAACAGAAATAAATAAATAAAAACAAAATAAATAATTCCCGACGGAAAAGAAGTCCGCACTGGCTAAATGTATGAAATTGGAAAAATATTAATTATTAATAATTAATTATTTTTTTCTTACACTAATCTCGTTTCAGGCTTTCGGTCTGTTTTATTTCTGTTTATATTCATCTAAACGTGTTGTCGTTAGCCATGATTTATCTTGGGATTGGTAGTGGAGTAGTTTCCCGTTGCCTTCTCCACTTAATATTAGGAAGGCAGCTGAAGTTTTTGGACACATAATGAGGAAGGAGGGCCTGGAGAATCTGATACTCACGAGTCGAATAGAGGGAAAGAGAGACAAGGGAAAACATCGCGTGACATACCTGTCGGGCTTAAGCAAGTGGATGACTGAACATGGTCTTGGGGAGGAAGCAGAGGGAAGGAACTTGTTGAGAGGTGCAAGGGATAGAGCGAGGTGGAGAGCCATATTTGTCTACGTACTGAAAGGACATGGCACATAAAACGAAAGTAAGAAACGTGTTGTCTTCCGGGAGAATCTTTTGGGCCTTATTCGGAATATAATTTAATAGTTTTACTTTTAACCCGTGAAAATTTCATGGTTTTGCGATTTTAATATTCTGAAGAATTTTAATTCTTAATTTCATGATTGAATAATTTCATAGCGAGTTCTACGACAATAAATATCCGTAGAAATCTCTCCTATCGCATCGTTAAATATTAGAAATTGACAATTTTAGCAAAATATTGCAATAATAGTCAGAAATATGCTGTTTGATATTTTAAAATATGGGTACAAATTAAAAGATTTGAAATTGACAACGTTTTCCATTTCACTGAAACAACGATTAAACACTTCTGTCTTCCCTTCTTTCTTTCTTTCTTTCTTTTTGTTTTATTTTTTCTTTCTTTCATTCATTCATTCATTTCTTCACTGAAACCAAGGAGTGTCTTTTCCTATCTTTCCACGCGATCAAAATGGAATAATCCATTATTTATGAGGTACTGGCTCGAGACGTTAAACACTCCTTTTTTCTTTCTTTCTTTCTTTCTTTCTTTCTTTCTTTCTCACTGAAACCAAGTAGTGTTTTTCCTATCTTTCCACGGGATCAAAATGGAATAGTCCATTATTTATTGTCAATCATAAGAAAAGAAATGGTGGGAACTTCACCGTGGTGCAACATTTAGCAAGTTTATCTCCCTAGACCAATTACGACTGAGTATTGAGTTCGATCCCCACTGGGTGGCTCCATACTTTCGGCCTTCTGTCACATATAAGCTAAGCTTAGTAAATCACCATAAGAAAAGGAAATTGTTCCATTTATATAGTGCGCGTTTGGCGTAGTGGCTTGGTGTACTGAGTTCAACTTCCAACTAAATGGATGGCGGAATAGGCTTTAGGAGAAATAAAAAGATAAAAATCTATTAAGAGAAAGACAGGAAATTGTGGAGAGCCATGATTACCTACGCCCTTAAGCTACACGGCATATAAGGAAGAAGAAACTACAACTAGCCCCATCCTTCATCTATGGATATTGATATATCAGACTTGCAAAGATGATGCTGAAAAGTTCTTGAACCGAGTTCCACTTCACTATATCTTACCAAAAATCAGAATATTTTTAAAACTCCATGTAATTTTTAACACATCTAATTATCTATCTCATTCTGTTCTTATCTATCTATCTATCTATCTATCTATCTATCTATCTATCTATCTATCTCATTCTGTTTCTGTCAATTTACCTTTCTATCTATCTATCTATCTATCTATCTATCTATCTATCTATCTATCTATCTATCTATCTCATTCTGTTTCTGTCAATCTACCTTTCTATCCATCTACCTATATATCTATCTCATTCTGTTCTTATCTATCTATCTATCTGTCTATCTATCTCATTCTGTTTCTGTCAATTTACCTTTCTATCCATTTATCTATCTATCTATCTATCTATCTCATTCTGTTTGTCAATCTACCTTTCTATCCATCTACCTATATATCTATCTCATTCTGTTCTCATCTATCTATCTATCTATCTATCTATCTATCTATCTATCTATCTATCTATCTATCTATCTCATTCTGTTCCTATCTATCTATCTATCTATCTCATTCTGTTCCTGTCAATCTATCTTTCTATCTATCTACCTATATATCTATCTCATTCTATTCTTATCTATCTATCTATCGATCTATCTAACTAGCTATCTATCTACGATGGGGTGTTGAAAATTTACCAGTCCGAGACCAATTTTCTCAAAATTTGACCAAATGAACAAACACTTTTTTTAACGTCCTTTTTGATCGAACTGACATGTCAGCACAACTTATATTCTTAAGTTTGTGGCCGCCAATAATGAATCCTGGAAAGACTTCTAGTTCTCTCAGAATCCCGTCACTGTAAAAGCTGAGACGACATATCTTTGTCTTACACTCCTTTTAATTTTTGCATATTTACTGAATTCATTTTCTGTCCGTATACAGGCAGTTTGCTGCCAGTATAAGTTCTGGATTATTCTAATATTCTCCCCAAATATATGAAGCTTACCTAATAGACTGAAGTGAAATGCGTCCGAATCTCACTGAGTGCCATATACAATACGTCGCCTTCCACTGAGCTGGAATTGCGTTTAGTAAATATTAATAGAATATGATGTACAACGACTTACATCCATCGTGATCAACCTAAAGTAAATCCTATATTCCTATATTCCATCTATTCCTATATTCCTATATTCCATGCTGTCAAAACAAATAATAATGAATAATAATTCATTTACTTTGGCAAAATCTCAGCTATTAATGCAATCAATATAAAAACTACTACGAATAAGAAGGAATTACGTCTGATTCAATAGAAGTCGTAAAATAATCGATATATCCCTTCTGTTTGTTTCACTCTGGCTGTCCAAGGTCCACTTCAGCGACTGAATTTATTTACTTTCAATCCGGACATGGGTAAAATATAATTCTCTTGGCTTATATTTAATTCCCATGTGCAAGAAGCGTCAACATAACAAGCAATTGTTCCCCTTTTTAATGTTTTTTATTTATTTATTTTATTTCTATTCTATAAATAGCAAACGGACACTGCTCTGTTTTATGAATAGAACATATTTTTTTAACTTTTTCGTTAAAGAGTTCTCTCTTTCTTTCTCTTCATAAATAGTCATTGTTGCAACAATATAAATTTGCTTACAGCGAAAGCTGATTTTTTCACATTAATTCTGAGAAGTAAATCATGGAGACGCTGAGTTCAGTCTCGAATGTTATGGTTAATGAGCTTGTCTTCACTGAGTAGTCTATTAATCTGTCCTGGTAGCTAAATTGGTTTTATCATCCAATATTCTCAGAGTGACACTTGTTGTTGTTGGTATCATTACACCTCTATCTTCGTTTGGTTTCTCATTTCTGGTTTCGTGGTTAAATAGATATATAGATATTGAACAATGTTGATGTTTTGTTGGTTTTTTTTAGATAGGCGAATATCTTTTTCTTTAATTTTCCTTTTTCTTTTTTTCTCTTTTCCGCAGGTTTGGTATTGTTGATTGGAATTGTTTTAGCTATTTCGTTTCACCTATTATTTAATCATATATATATATATATATATATATATATATATATATATATATATTATTTATTTAAAAATATGATTCCCAATCGCTACATAAGAGGTCTCATGTTTCAAAACAAGAGCCGAAAACTTCAATATAATCCTTTAAATTAAATTGAGTTGAAATTAAAAAGGGCCCCGTTCCATCTTCAAGCGAATTTTTTGTTGGAAACGTATATCTGAAATTTACTTGTTTTAAAAGTTGAAATCAAAATCACCATGGTGACAGCTAGGGCGAATTGTCTAAAATGGGTAGGCGAGTGTGGGGTGTTAATGATGAGTGGCGGTATAGGGATACTTTCAAGGTGTCAAGTCGGGGGAAGGTGGGGGTGTTAAAAAAGAAACGAAGATGTATTAAGCTTTCGTCAAGTTGGCTTGTCTATGGAGATTTATTTATTTATTTTATTTTATTTTATTATGAAAGGGAATTGTGCATATAAAAAGAAAAAATTTCGTGGCGTTTGTTTTTTGACGACTTCATAAAGGGTTATCTTTTATGTAAGGTATTTAAATAATAATTTGGGCTATGGGTTATGAAGGGTGTTATGTTGTATGCAAGTTTGTAGTTAATAATTTCTACTATGAATCTGATGATTGGGTTATTTGTTAAACAAGTTATATAATTTTTTTTTTTTTTTTATTTCAAACCAAAAATCTGATGATGCCTACAAAAAACCGTTAACTCGTGTCTATTATTTAATAGATTATTATTATTTAGAAGTTTAATAATGTGCAATTTTTCTTATATATTTATATATATTTATATATATTTATATATATATATATATATATATATATTTATATATATTTATATATATATATATATATATATATATATATATATATATATATATATATATATATATATATATATATATATATATATATATATATATATATATATATTTCAATAAAAGGTGCAATTAATTTACAAATTCATGAATTATTCATACAAAAAACAAATACAAAGGTTAATGATTTAATTGGCGAGAAATCCATCGTCGCGAACAATTCAAATAATATACAAAAACCCCGAACCTGTTTATGAATGAAAAGATCCTTGTTTCTATAAATTTCTCTTGCATGAGTTCTTATTATTTTTACAAGCTTTCGTCTGTTCCTACAGGCATCCTCAGGTATGGAATAGATTTTGTTCTTGTTTTTTTTTTCTCAGTAATAAGAGGACAACGAAAATATATGTACTGTTGTAATCCGAAAAATGCTATTAGAAATGAGTTATTGTTTTTGGAGCGTGCTGTCGCAACGCTGAGTTTGAATTTAAATTTTACAATTGTGCGTTCTTATACAAATATGGTGATAAGTGAATTCTTTTTTACTGGTAAATTTTCTGTCAAAGTGTCAATAACTCATTGACATGAGAACTCAATAATATGTCAATAACTCATGCAAGAGAAATTTATAGAAACAAGGATCTTTTCATTCATAAACAGGTTCGGGGTTTTTGTATATTATTTGAATTGTTCGCGATGATGGATTTCTCGCCAATTAAATCATTAACCTTTGTATTTGTTTTTTGTATGAATAATTCATGAATATATATATATATATATATATATATATATATATATAGTCTGTCTTTGGATGACAATATATATACACACTCTGAAAAAAATATATTGAGCTCTTCAAGGAGAAATCTTTGTCACCATATTTATTACAACGTTTCGGCCGTTGTACGCTCCGGCCTTCTTCAGTTGGTTGGAATGTCAAACCGAACCCTTTATTTCGCTCACTGGGGTAGACTGTTCTACTTCCACGTGCCATGTTTAATGGATGTCAGTTATCAGTTATCTCCTCTTTGAAAGTTCTCCACTGCCTTAACCGGGTATTGAACTCACACTCTTTGGGTCCTGTCACTGGATCTAACTAACGCCTTTATCCACTGTGCCATGTGTCCTTGCGTTTTAATATTTTTATATTACTACGATCCACTTGGATTACATACTAACGGATTTATTACCTTTACAATATATATATATATATATATATATATATATATATATATATATATATATATATATATATATATATATATATATATATATATATATATATATATTGTGTGTATTTAGGCAGCATCTTTTCATTCATACGCGTTTCATTAAATAATATAGACAAGTGTTGTTTATTTATTTTATTAAATTTTTTTCGTAACATCTGATAAGTTTAATAACATTATCGTTGAACGAAGAAAGAAATTCACAATAGTGATCCATATTTTTTTAATACAATCTAAGCTTTCTACAAATATTCTTAAATATCTATAATTGGTAACAGAAGCCATTGGTTTATACCAACGGCTTTCCATATTTCATACTACTACAATTCACTCTCGTGTGGTCATGTGTGACGTCATGAGATGCGGTGCGATTTTCGCTTCTAGCGTCTTATATACGCGTGTTTATCGTTGCTTAGAAAACAACTATGTAAACATTGACAGACTATCATCACTGTCTTGTCCGTATATTGCTTAATATGTTGTAATTGACATCTTTGATAATGGCTTAAGTAAGCGGAAAGCTTAGATTGTATTAAAAAAATATGGATGACTATTGTGAATTTCTTTCTTCGTTCAACGATAATGTTGTTAAACTTATCAGATGTTACGAAAAAAAATTACATAAAATAAATAGACAACACTTGTCTATATTATTTAATGAAACGTGTATGAATATATATATATATATATATATATATATATATATATATATATCACTGTCAACCAAATTCAGTGTCTATCGAGCTGTCATTCTCACCACTCTTCTTTACGGGTCAGAATCGTGGACGCCATACAGGATGCACATCAATTACTTGATGCTTTTAATAAACACTGTCTTCGTTCAATATGCGGTTATACACGGCAGGACAAAATTTCTAACCCTGATCTTTTCATCAAATGTGACGTCAGTGGTATTGAATCCTTTCTGATGCAAGCACAGTTCAGATGCGCTGGTCATGTCATCAGAGTGAGCGATGATCGGATGCCGAAAATCTTCATGTATAGCCAACTTTTTCATGTTAAAATTAATGTAAGCCGTCCTTGGTTACGCTTCAAGGACAAAAATACAATTTTAAATGCGGCAAAGATCCCTATAGAGGATGTCGAACTTGCTGTTGAAAAGCAAGCAAAGTGGAGAAATACCTGCTACCGAGGGTATATCTAACTTTGAAACCATCTGAGAGAATTAAGAACCAACTCTAATTCTCGGGTTAATACATCAGCCTGTATGACAGTCAACCCTCCAGCATGTCCACCGTGTGTGTGTGCGCGCGCGCGCCCTTCGCGTGCGTGTGAAGACAATAATAAAGAGTTTATTTCTCTCAAAATGCAATCGAACAGATGAACTCCGGATGGTAACCCATTCAAGTCAAGCCGTTCTTGCGAATACAGAGCTTAGTGTCAAAGGATACAACAATAATTATTAGTAATAAAAGGAAATACATCGCTTATCTTATATAAGTAATCAAAATTGAATATAACTTAACAGTTTTATCTCGTTAAAGAGATGCTTTATTTACTAATAGTCCATCCAATACAAAACCCAAGAGCCACTCAAGGTAGAGAA